AAGTCAACTCCGCAAGAGAAAACATTCTAGTATCAAGTCTGGAAAAAGGAGGAGGGTTGGTTAGATGAGTGTCGATGCACTAACTATAAAACGACAATACGAATGAAATCTGATGTCAATATAAGCAAAAGATAAAAGATGCTGGCTCGGACGTCGCCCGGATAAACAAGGTCCGCGACACCAACTGAGCAATCGGGGTTGGGTCGAAAAATTGCTACCTAAAGAAAGAAAAGAAAGCTTTACCCAGCAACACGAGTACTTTCAGTAGGAACTTGGAATGTCAGAACGTTATGTTCACATGGAAAACTATAGCTTCTTCGGAAGGAAATGGAGAGGTATCAATGCGACATCTTAGCAGAGATGCGTTGTACAGCATCGGGAGAACTGAATGGTGGTGAAGTCATCTGGTCGAGAAATGATACAAGGCATGAAGCATTTTTGCTTAGTAAAAGAACGCGAGCAGCATTGTTAGTATACAATCCAGTTAGTACAAGATTGATGATGGCAAGGAATGAAGCAAAGCCATTTAATATATCAGTAATCAAGGTATAGGCACCTACCTCAGATAGCAGTGAAGAAGAGATTGTTTTTTCTATTATATATAAAGATATATATCTTTCTATAAAGATCTAAGCATGATAATGAGAAAACACCACGAAGAGATGTGATCATCATTGGAGGTGACTGGAATGCTAAGATTGGAAATAATAATGAAGGTTGGGAAAAGTTGGGTACGCAAGTTATGGGTATGAAGCAAGGAATGAACGAGGGAAAAGACTGCTTGAATTTGCCCTAGATTAAGATTTAATAATATGCAACACCAAATTCCAGTAAAAGAACTGTAGAAAATGGACATGGAGATCAAGTGATCAAACAAGAGAAGCAATTGAACAGACCATACCAGAAGAAGAAAAAAATCAACAAGAAATGGATAACACAAGAGACCCTAAAGCTTATCCAAGAGAAAAGAGCTTTTAGGCTTAGAAGAGACATTTTCTGAAGAATTGGAAAAACAGTATAAGGTAAAGTGCAATGAAAAAATACAGTTAGGATGGATAAAGCGAAATGGCTAGAGAATCAGTGTAGAAACATAGAAAAATATTATAGAGAATGTAAGACTAGAGAAGTATATAAGATAATCAGAAATGTCAACCAGAAATCGAAACCAAAGCAAATGGCAATCAAAAATGAGAAAGGAAAGGTTTTAGTGGACAGGGTGGAAGTCCTACAGAGGCGGAAAAGTTATTGCTTTGAACTATACAAGGAAACGTTAGATACAGATGTATTAGAGAATCTAGTAGATGAATTAAGGAAGATATCACCATCCGATGTTGAAAATGAAAATGATATTATGAGGGAGGAAGTTGAAGGGCAGTGAAACGGTTAAAAGACAGTTAGAGTCCTGGACATGACAGAATCGCAGGAGAAAGGATTAAGCATGGAGGAGAAAGCTTAATTGACGAGATACACCAAGTGTGCAATGAGGTATGGAAACAAGGAAAGATACCTAAAGAATGGGCAAAATCAGTATTGATTAATAAGAAAGGCAGCATGTTAGAGTGCAAAAATTATAGAACAATTGCCCTAACAAGCCACATAGGAAAAATTCTAATGATCTTAATCTTAAAGGAGAGACTAAGTAGTTTGATGGAAGAACACTTAGCAGATGAACAGGCAGATTTCAGGATACAGAAGTACAACGCAACAGATACTAACATTACGGCTATTAGTTGAAAAGGCAAGAAGAAAACAAAAAAACGCTTTGTGGACTTTCGAAGGCATTTGACAGCATAGACCAAAAAGTCACCTTGGCAGTGCTAAAACCTTATTGAGTTGATTATAAACTAATAAACCTGCTAACTTATATTAATGATAATACAGAAGCAGCTGTGAGATTGCGTGGGGAGCTAGGAAACTGGTTCAAAAATAATAATAAATAAATAAATAAATAAATAAATAAATAAAAAGAGGCACCAGACAGGGAGATCCTATATCCCCAATTATCTTCATAAATCTCTAACTATAATTATCTTCATAAGTGAAGAACAACTAGAGAAAATATTACATCTGCTTAATGAAGGAAAAAGATATGGACTGACTATCAATAGCGAAAAAACTAAGACAATGATATTTGATGATAACAACATGACAAGAAACATCCTAGTAGATAGGAAAGAAATTGAAAATGTAGAGAGCTTTACATATTTAGGAAGCAAACTGGAAAAGTAAAGCAATTAGTTTTCAGACAAAATTAAAAGTATTAAACACCTGCATCTTCTCCTGCGTGCTGTATGCCTGTGAGACATGGGCAATAACAAAAGATATGGAAAGAAAAATATTAGCGTTTGAAAGACACTGTTACAAAAAGATCTTACAAATAGGATGGATGCAGAAAGTCACAAAAGAAGAATTTTATAATAGGATATATATATGAAAAAGAATCTCTTACAAAAAATTATACAACGAAAACTTCAACTGTTTGGATATATCACAAGAATGAATGAAAACAGAAAAATTAAGACTTTAGTCTATGGCATTATGGATGGATCCAACAAAAGAAGCAGACTATACAGAATATTGTATTGATATTATATGTATTAATTATATATATATATTATATGTATTGAGAATGGATTGATGATGTGAAGAAGTGGTGTGGAACGAATGTGCGGAAATTGAGAAAATCGGCAATGGATAAAGAGAAATGAAAGAAAATAGTGGAAAAGGCGTTAGACACCAACGGGCAATGAGCCCAGGGTTAATGATGATGATGTCAAAGTCATGAATTTTCTATTGTTTGTTGATAATGAAATTTAGGGTCTAGTTGAGGATTAGGAAAAGGTTAACTCAGACGAGAAAGGGGCACGTATCCAAGTACTCCAACGTACTGGTACCTCTGCGCTGTACCCTGGTATTTGGTGGAGGATTCGTGTCTAACCAAAGAACTGGCCATATGCAGTTTTCTGGGTTTCTTTATGTATGAGACACCTAAAAAGGGATCGCTTTCCCATTGAAAGTCCTTTCAGAGGCGAACTTTCTCTCGGAGAAAGTTCGCCTCTGAAAGTTCGTTCTCATGTGTTGCATTTACCTTATTCCATCAATGTAATCCAATCCATCACGAAATTGATCACATAATACGATAAGAGATGGCACAGGAAATAATCAAAATAAATAGAATCATATTAAAGAAAATGTAAAACATTATTAATTGTCTCTAAAATTAATTAATAATTGAAGTGTTTTGGTAGTGAAGACATACATATGTATGTATATGTATATTTTATACTGAAGTTTGTTAAAAAGAACTTTAAGATTAATATGAATGAAGTGATATTTGTAGCTACAAATATTAAAAAATGTTCCTCGTTTAAAGACGATTCGCTAATATGACGCTTTTGTATGTATATTCCTGTTTGATTTTTTGGTTGCAAATTTGAAAAAATTGTAGCCCTATAAATTCCCATTGTCGTCCATCTGACCTTCCGTCCGTCTGTCTGTCATTCTTTAATCATGAGAACAGAGTTAGATAGATGAAAGACGAAACCAGACATGGAAAGATTAAGGATGGGAAGTCCCGATTTATGCTCTTCTGATGCAATTCGAAAGTCGTGTTATTTTAGTTCAAACATTTTCCCCTGAATGGTGCTAGATAGATGATAGGCACGACTCTATTGTTAAAGGAAAAGTATGATTTACAGGGGCAAGCCACTACTAATCTGAGGTTGAGATCATATATTTTAAATTAAGTAAAAATTGCAGCCCGGCATTGTACTATGTCACAATAAATACTTGTTCGTTATTATTAGATGATTATCAGAGTTTATTAGTGTTTGCTTTGCTCTTACGGGAGTTAGCGAGATTTTTTAGTTATGACTTTTAATTTAGATTAGCGATTTTTAGTCTAGTGTTTCAATATATATATATATATATAAATTTTCGAATGAAAAAAACACGTTTTTATTTAATTTATATTCGCTTTAAAGCCTTGGTGTTTAAAGCTGAAGTTTGACTCACCATGTTAAGGTAATATAAAATGACTCTCAGAAATGTTGATTAGAAATATTAATTCTATTATAAAAATTGTTTATTTGTTGATTTTTATGACATACAGTATTTATTTTATATTTTGGAAGTGAAAAGTTGTTGATTATTGCTAATACCTCGTACCTATACATTCAATAATTTTAATCATAAAAAATTAGTCGTTAGACTGTAAACGTAAATCCAAATTTGATTTCTCTTGTTGTACGCTCTGGCTGATACTATTAGAACATAGTATTCATTGGGAATAGAAAAATAGAAAATATTAAAATAAGCACAGTGCATGGACATGATATTTACTATAATGAGGCGACCTGGCGGTAAAGGATGGGTCTGACATATCCTGTACAAACCATCCTTAATAATTTCTGAAGTATATTCTCTGTTTTTTAAAATACTTTTCTTATTTATTATTACCAAAAAACAAGGTCGAATAATAATGTGAACAATCAATTCTTTTTATATCATATATTTTCTTTACCTCTTTCTGCTCCATGGGTACTAACAGATCATTTATTTTTGCAAGCCCATTATAAGTTCGGTCAGACCTACAAAGGGGCGCCGGGTGATGAGGGATCGGGCTCGAAATATCAGGATAGACCACTCCCCGAAAAATTTCTAGGGAAAAACCTGTCCAGATTCGATCCCGGGTCTCTCAGAGAGGTAGGTGTAACCTTAATCTCTCGGCCAACAGGCCGACAAATTATTGATTAAATAATATTTTATTATGGTGTTATTATCGTTTAATGTTTTTCTCGAAATATCAAAATATTTTAAACACATTTTGTACTTACTATAGAATAAAATAATTTTAAAAAATTACAGAAAAAATTTGCATATTTTAGACACATTCTATCATTTAATAAACATTTCAAAATTGAAAATGTTAATTTATAAAATGATATATAGGCGGATATAAATCCGAATCCGAAAATATCGTAAAATATCCGAATAAAATAAAAATGAGAATTCAAAATTTATGTAAATTAATTAAAAGTTTTTCGAAGCGATTTATAAAGAATAAATAAAAAAAATGGCAACAATAATTTTTAGTGATAGTATTGTGGGAGACTTGGTAAAAGTATTTTATATGTATATATTTATTTTTTCTAGATTACTATAATAGTTTAAGTAATTAATTAAAAATTGTTTTTAGATGACATTAAAGAAAAATGACTTGTTATCTATGCCTTGTCGTCATTGTTTTGTGTATTATATGGTTGATTCCTTTATTATTCAAGCTATTATTTAAAGCGATAAGACTACTTTTAGTCAACAGGCGGAGAATTAATTAACACAACAGTTATTCACCTTCTGGTTGATTTTAATTTCGGTTTTGAAGGTAATGTATTATTTAAAATCGTTTTTTTCTTTTTTTTTTAAATTTTACTGATATCAATTTTTATTTTTTGATTTTTAGGATGAACGATTTCACTTCGCTTTATTTAAATTTACAAAAACTTTAAATATTCTATAATTCTCCCTTCCTTAAATTTTCATGTGTTGATTTATATTCATTGAATTTTTAATAAAGGTTTACATATGTACAACTAAATCATTTCCACTAAACGTATATCTTGATAATTTGCTTTATAAAGTGGTTGTGTCGTCTTTGTTTTTTGCTATCGTTTATGTATTGTGATTAAGGTTAAATTGTATAGAAAACCTGTCTTGTTATAAAGCAAATTTTCGAAATTTTTTGTTTGTTTTTTAAAAATTTTCCTAAATAAAAAACGTTTTTTCCAATTAAATCATATTTTTTTTACACTCTTATTGATGATATGAATAGATGAGGAAAATAGTGAGACCAGGAATGTATCAATCTCATTTGAAAAAACAGGGTTCAAATCTTTAATTAATAGCTATCTCGGTGCAACCGAAAGAAATTTAAACGTTTTACAGAACACGAAAGAGATTGTAAAATATTGAACCACAGCTTTCTCCTAATTTTAAAGAACAGATTTTTATTAAAAGTTTTGAAGTACGTAATTTTATTACGAAGACATTAAAATTGTACAAGTAATCTGCATCTTCCCGATAAAACAAACTTCGATATAACGATTTCTCCCTGTAATAACTTTCCATGGGTCACTATATAGCGAGTCTACTGTAAAATAATTTCATTAAAAAAATTGTTAATTATTAATTTAATCGATTTTGATTATTAAATTTATTAACATTAATTTATGAAAAATCATTGACAAATAAAAAAATTCAAATTATATTTATGCTACTATTTTAAAGATTTTTAAATAACTTCTGAGGAAACTTGTAAATTTTGTGACCGTAGGGTCGGTGTCTCTTTGACACCACGTCAGGATGTGACACCACCTAGTCTCGCAGGAGTCGGAAATCGCGACTTTACGTCACGCGAGCGGTTGGATTCGGAGTAGAGGTGAGGAGAGAGACGAGAAAGCGACTCACTCGGATTTCATATTAAATAATAACAATTTTAATAAGAACCAAAGAAAATACAGATATATTCGATAGCGAGCATGCCTAAAGTTTCCCTAATTATGCTAGGCCGTTCGAGAGAGAGTTTACAAACGAATCGCGTGTTGATAAATACCTTTCTTCTGAGTCAAAGATCCGTAGTAAGATGACACCGCCGATGGAATGTTCGATCAAATGGGTTCTGGGTCTTGTCCGTTAACAAGGAGCACGGAGGTGTGGAGGCACGGAACTGGGGATGATATCCTTAAAGAGGCACGATCGTTGTCACGGTTTTAATTCTGGATTCTTGATCCCGGTATTAATCCTTGAGGACGACTTTGGTGGACGGACTTTGGAAGACGACTGACTTCGGGTGTTTTTTCCGTTCTCCCTTGTTATTCCTCTTGGGTTTTCCCCTGAGGTCAGGAGGTTGTTGTTAAGGGTCTGGCGTCCAATGTGGGCACTTTATCGAAAGTTCCGGGTGACACATCACTGACTAGCTGGATCCTCCTCAACAAGGAATCAACTTCGTGGGAAATAATTTTATGGCTTTTAGCCTAACTTGATAAAACGCTCGAAGTTAAGAATTTCCCAATAATTAAAGTTTAAAATAACACTTTATTGGGGGTCGGTTCGTCCTTCACAATTTCAACTATTCATTATTAGATAGTTTTATAATAGAGCATATTATTAGAAAATTATAAAAGAAAATTAAATATATTTATAAATAACTGTTTTATTTATAAGTAACGGTCTATTTCAAAACGAAAAAGAGATACAAGTTAATGGGAAGTTCACAACATGAACTTCACACTAAATTTTCTTTTCCTCTGTTTTTTCTTCTTTTTTGTTAAGAAATCTGTAATTGGTTCTTTCTATTCTAATTACAGTTGTTTAAGCGTTCATTTATGTTAATTATGCAGATGTTGAAGCAATTATTTTATTCTTTGAATCTTTAATAAACCTGCTATTTTATCATTAATATAATAATAATTTACTTTTGCCAGAAATATATTTTTATAAACAGAATTATTTACCTTTTTATAAAAGCACTATTTGAACAATTTTTATATAAATGACTCTATATTTGGTTTCTATAAACATTTCTTTAGGTTTTTTTCCCATTGAAAATACCAATTTCCACACCGTACTCTGTATCTACATTTAAACAACAAAAAATTACCCAGTAGAATATTTGGAGTTAATGCACATTGTTTAGCATTAAACTTCCAATTTTAAGTGATTTGACTAATTTAATGTATAATAATAATTAAACAATTTTGAATTTTATAGTTATTCATACAATTTTGATCGTGAATTTAGGAATAATTTTAAAAAATTCGCTTTTCGTGCTAAACGTAAATAAGTGTATAAATAATAGAAAAGAAATACATCCGACATGGAATAATTATATTTATAGAGGGCGTCTTAATAATAATTATTAAACACAACAACAGCAGAAGAGAAGAAAAAAAATCCAGCAATGAGTTGCATAACTTAAAAATAAAATTGTAAATGCTAATAATGAGCGGAATCATTAAATCCGATCCTAGTCGAACCCCCTCTATTTCTCCATCCCTCGATTTTCAACCACCAAAATTTAATAGCATCAATCCCCAAAATACACAAACCTCTCTGCAAAATTTTGGAAATTTTTGACAAAAAAGCACAGGAGTTATTAAGGTGACGAAAATCGTGTTCCCCCACACACTAACATCCATACATACAGAAAAATCCCCGAATTTGTTTAGCATTTCTAACGTTTCAGGTCCCATGAGCCAACAAATTAAAAATCTTGGGGGCCATTTTTGACCGATTGCCATACTTTCTTTCCCTCTGTTACATATAACAGAGCCGGAAAAGTAAAAATACAGTCAGAAGAGTAAAAGAAGTACAGAAAAGAGAAAGGAAGAAGAAAGAAAGAATTAAGAAATTAAAAAAGAAATTATTTTTTTACTCTAATTATAAATTATTTATTTAACCAGGTAAGAAAGTAAAAAAAAAAATTTAAAAAGAAACACAAAAGTATATTTAGATTTTTATCCAGCAGAAAAGGGGATAAAACTTGGAAAACCTATGAATAGGTTAGGAATAAGTCGTCTAAAGTGATTGTGATTATGGTTTAAGATTTTTGTTAATTTTTTAAAAAAAATATTTTTATTGTATAACTAAAAAGATTTTATTGTATTTTAGAAATATAAGTAATAAAAACATCTTTTTAAGGAGAGACGAAAAGGTCCCGAAATACAAGAAATTTTTGTTTACAGGTGCAAGTAAAAGTTTATTCTTTGAATCAACCAGTCTCTTGGTTCAAATCTCTAATTTAATTCGCAGTTATATTAGGCTTTATTTTAAGGTTTTTTTCTACCGCACAAATATCAGTTTTGTTTTGGCCAAGCAGATAAATCCTAGCGTTAATAAAATGTTCTAAAAAGACATAAATGGAAATAAGAACAATAACACAAATCTGCATGTGATATAATATACTATACGATAAGTACACTATGGTTGTGGATTCTAGTTTAAACGATAATATTGATGTTGCAACTACATAAAAATATCTATTGTATATAGTATATTCGATTAGAAAAGGTAAATCCTACCAACATTCCTTTCATAACTTTTTTTGTACTGCGAATAAAATATTCTGTTAAACCTGTGTAAATCAGAATCTCACCGTCTGAATATTTTTTCTTTTTAGGCTGATTTCCTTTTTGTTCAGGTTCCGTTTTGACCAGATTTTACCATACACCCTGTAATCTAAGTGAATATTTCAACTTTACATAACTAGAAGAAAGAAATACCTATAAAACCCGGAATCGAACAATTAATTACTGTACAAATATGGAATTCCCATTGCACAATTCAAAATTCCCATTACGCATTTTGACCGGTTGCACGTTAAATATGCACTGAGTTAAATCAGTACGAGTCCTAATAACAGATTATAGTAGACACAATAAACTAATATTAATAAAGTAAATAGAAAAAATTTAAATTACATTTATCTGAATGTGTTTGTGTTTTTTTTTTATCTGGATAAAATTAACAACTTTTATTTTATTTTCAGTTTATTTTGATCGTTATCGTATAAAATTATAATCAAAAGATGAATAATAAATAATTATTTTTGTCATTTGAAATTTACTTCTAAAAGTATAATTCTTAAAATTACATGGTATAAATAAAAAAGTAAATGTAGATTTATCTATGCTAATTTTCCTTAAAAATTATAGACACTTTAACTGTTTTAATTAATTGTATATATTCTACATTTGTTAACATCAGTTCATATTATAGATTTATTAATAAGATATAACAACATATTAAATATATGTTTACAATGTTGATATATTGACTGTTTATTGGGTTGCAATTTGAAAAAAATTGTAGATCCATAAATTCCACTTTCATCCATTTGTCTTTCCTTAATCTCAAGAACGAAGTTAAATAGGTGAAAGCCGAGACCAGACATGGTTATTATTCTTAAATATATGTAAAGAATAGAATTAAAACACATTTTTGAAAGATAGATAAAATATTATTTTAATGACAGAAAGAATAGGATGTACAGAATGTACAGCAACGATTTTTATAATGACCTATTTTGTCAAAAATAATTTAAATTGTTAATGTATTTGAATTTGATACGTTTGGTACAATTTAAACATACCAAATTTCTCAGCTGAAAGAGTAACAAGTACGAAGTAATTTATATATAAACTTTGATAAATTTATTTTTCGTTTACAGTAACTAAAATTTAATTCCTTTTCGTTCTATGCTTTCCAAATGACAATGACGTTTATGTAAATTGATGAACAGTAGAAGTTAAACTCACTCAATCGTTCAGGACATTTTTTGATCAATCCAATTTAAAAGTTTTCATTTTCTATTGCAAACAAACTTCAGTTCATTGAAATAGACACGAGGAACTGTTTGTATTGAAACATTCAAATTAAGAATGTCTCAAGACAACACCAGAATCAATATTCGCAATAGAAACTCTGATAAATTTTAACGAATTTTCTTTGTCTTTAATAAATTTCCGAAAACTTTGTTAAATTAATTTGATAATTTTCTAATTTACATCATAACAAATATCACATTAATTTCACAGAACAATATGTGTTTAATCACAATATATTAATAAAATAAAATGGCAATTTTATTGTTTCATTCTAGCACTTCTAAAATTCTGTCATATTAAGTTAAACACAATAATAAAACACGTTCATGTTTTTATTTTACTGAATTTACTTAAATTTTTCCGAAAAAAATATTTTTCAGCAATTAAACGTAAATTTTAACAAAACCATTTAACAAAAGCTTTATTAATTTAAAACGTGTTTGTTTATAAAAATTTGTAATTGGAACACAGTTTTCATATATTAGTACTAGGTCAGTGTTATAACAATTCACTTGTCCTTATATTTTTAAAAACTGAAATTTTCATGACAAATATTTCCTCTAAAATATTTCAAACTGTTTAGTCCGTTGTTATAAAAAAAAAATAACTAATACGAGTTTTATTCCCTTACACGAATACTGAATTCTGTTAAATATACCCAAAGTGATAGCGAAAATGTTTATTTATCACAATGATTAAAATTCAACATACTGTACGTTGAATTCTTATTTTAAATAATAGTCAAATAAATAATTT